TAGCCCTGGCTGTCCTAGATCTTATTATGTAGGCCAGGCTGGCCTCAAACTCTTAACAATTCTCCTGCTTCTGCCTCCCGAGTAGCAAAATTAGAGGCATGTTTCTTCCATCAGTGCTTTATAAAAATTATGACTTCCTTCATTAAATTTATCCATAATTTTTTTACTGGAACATTTGGAGCAAACTTTTTTTGATGATTATTACCACTTTTTCTTTTGGTGATAGAATCAAACTCAGGGCCTTAAACATGATAGGCAAGCGCTCTACCACTGAGCTATATCCCCAGTGATGAGTACTCTGCAGTCTCTTATTCTCTGCATGCTGACCAGTTGTGGGTCTCTGTGTTAATTACCATCTGTAGCATGAGGAAGCTTCTCTGGTGAGAGTTGAGAGATACATTAATCTATGGCTATAACAATAGGTCATTAGGAATCAGTTTAATGCCATGTCCATTTAGCAGAATAATAGTAGTAGGCTCTCCCCTATGGCCTGTGACTTGTCTATCGACAGGTTCGTAGGCCTGATATCAGTGTCATTATAGGCACCATCTTGTGAAACAGACCTTCATACTCAACCTTCTCTCTCCTCTGCCCTACCCTCCTATTCCACACCCCGTTTGGTCCTACTCAATTATTCCCTTTCACCATTTTATATCACTGCATTCTATTACCACTCTTGTGAAGCCTTGCCCCCATGGCCATGTATTAGTTTCCTGATCTCTATGGATTTTCCAATTGAAACACATATCTAAGGATTCAAAGTTAGCATCCACCTATGAGAGAAAACATGTGAAATTTGTCTTTCTGGGTCTAGGTTACCTCACTCAGGATAACTGTTTCCAGTTCCATCCATTTACCTGAAAATTTCATAATTTTGTTTTTCTTAACAGCTAAATACTATTCCATTGTGTAAATGTACCATACTTTCATTATCCATTCATCTGGATGTCTAGGTTGTTTCCATTTCCTGGCTATTGTGACTAGAGTAACAATGAATGTGGGTGAACAGGTATGTCTATAGTAGGATACACGGTCCTTTGGGTAGATGCTCAAGAGTGGTATGGCTGGATTGTGTGGTAGATTTACAGCTTTTTGTGGAATCATCATACCGATTTCCATAGTGGCTGCACCAGTTTGCATTCAATAAGTGTATGAGTATGAGTGGTTTGCCTGCATGTATATAAGTGAACCTGTGTCATGCAATGCCAGTGGAGGTCAGAAGAGGGCACTGGATCCTCTGGGAATGGAGTTACAGATGGTTGTTAGCTGCTATGTGGGTGCTGGGAACTGAACCTGGGTCCTCTATAAGAGCAGCCAGTGCTCTTAACCTCTGATCCATCTCTCCAACTCCTATTCATTCATTTCAATTTAAAAAATATATATATTTTTTACATTTTTAGTGTGTGCATTTGCTTGAGGAGGAAGAAGACAATTTGAGGGTGTCAATTCTCTCCTTCCATCATGTTGGACCTGGCGATCAAAGTCATGTCAGGCTTCATGGCCATCCTTACATTTCTGGGACAAGTAACATTTGATCATAGTGTATAGATCTTTTTATGTATGTGTGCTTTTGGATTTGGTTTGCTAGTGTACCTGTCTATCTGTATATCTATCTATTTGTCTATCTATCTGTCTATTTGTCTATCAATCAATCAATCTATCTACCTATCATTCACCTACGTTGGGGATTGAACCCAGGACCTTAAATATGTTGGATAAATATTTTACCATTGAGCTCTATCCCCAGACTTCAATTTGCTAAAAATTTGTCAAGAATCTTGGTATTCTCATGAGGAATTTTGGTCCATAGTTTCCTTTGTTTTTGTTGTGTTCTTATCTGGCTTTGGCATTAGGGTAATGCTGGCTTTATAGACCAAGTTGGAAAGTGATATCTCCCTTTAATACTTAGAAATCATTTGAGAAGAATTGGTATTGTTTCTTTACAGCTTTGGTGAGATTCAGTAGCAAAGCCATTGGGTCCTGGACTTGTCTTTGTTAGGAGATTTTTTATTATTGATTTAATCTTATTGCTTGTTGTTAGTCTGATTAGGTTTTTAGCACAGGGACTCAAGTAGTTTAGACTAGCCTTGAATTAGTCATGTAGCTGAGGATGACCTTGAACTCTGGATCTTCCCACTTCTGCCTTCCAAATGCTGGGATTACAGGAGTGGATCATCAAGCTCCTCTCTAATTAGGTTTTCTAAGTTCTTGTGGTTCAACTTGGATATATGTCTAGCAATTCATCTATATGTCCCAGGTTTTTTGATTTGTTTTTGTATACAGTTGTTTATAATAGTCTCTTATGAAACTTTGTACTTTTTTGGTATATGTTTATATTGTAATGTCCTGGGGCTAGCAAGATGGTTCAGCTCCTGAAAGCAGTCTTCCTCTGATCCTATATGTGCTCTATGGTGCACACATGCCCACACAACACACACACACACACACACACACACACACACACACACACACAAATGATAATTTAAAATGTTGAAATGTTTAATTTTTCCATCTTTAATTTTATTCTCTCTCTCCGTCTCTGTCTCTCTCTGTCTCTCTCTGTCTCTCTCTCTCTCTCTCTCTCTCTCTCTCTCTCTCTCTCTCTCCCCTGCCCCTCCTTTTCTTGGTCAATTTAAAAATTTAAACAATCTATTCCTTTGTATATCTTCAGAGTCTCTATTTTCTTTATTTCTTTTCTGGTGGTTCCCTTCCTTCTACCAATTTCGTGTTTCGATGGCTGACTTTCTATTGCCTTGGTTACCATTGTTAGATGAGTTACTTTAATTTTCTTTTAAATTTAGGTACTTATTGCTATAAACTTCTGTCTTGGTGTTGCTTTTACTGTATCCCATACGTTTTGTTGTATTTTGTTTTCATTTTCATTTGTTTTAAGGTATTTTTAAAGTTTCACTTTGATTTCTTCCTTAACTTAGTAGTTACTTGAGAGACTGTTGTTTAATTTCCATGTATTTGCACAATTTTTTAATTTTATTTTTATTTTATGCTTGTATGTGTGGAAGTGTACCTGTATTGTGCAGTATCTGTGGAGGACAGAGAGGGTGTAGGATCCCCTGGCACTGGAATTCCTGATTTTAGTTGGCATGTGGGTGCTGGGATATGAACCTAGGTCTTCTGTAAGAACAGCCAAGTGCTCTTAACCTCTGAACCATCTCTCCAGCGCCCCCCCATTTGTACAATTTTTGAAAATTCCTCTTGTTAATTTCTAGTTTTATCCCATCGTTATCAGAAAAGATACATGATTTCAAGTTGAAAAAATTTTGAGACTTGTTTTGAGCTCAATATAAGATCTTGCCTTGGGAAACATTTCATGCCCTAGTGAGAAGGTGAGTACTGCTGGTGTTGGAAGGAATGTGTGTAAATACCTGTTAGATCCACTTGATCTACAGGATAGTTTGACTCTGATGATTCTGTATTGACCTGTCCATTGATTAAAGTGATAAAGTGTTAAGGTATCACATCAAATAATGTTTGCTTTTATATAATTGACTTGACTTTGTTTTTGTTGGTGCTTGGAACCAACCCTGGCCTTGGCAAGCCACTGACCCCCATCTCTAGCCCCTGCTTCATTTGTTATTATTATTTTGATCTTTTTGAGAGAGGGTCTCCTGAAGCCTCAGCAGGCTTGGAACTCACAGAGCTCCACCTGCCTCTGCCTCCTGAATGAATTTGTTATTATTTTTTAAAGATGTATTTTAATTTTATGTGTGAGTGTTTTGCTTGCATGTATGTAAGTTTCCACAGAGGCCAGAAGACGGCATTAGATCCCCTGGAACTGCAGTTACAGATGGTTGTTAGCTGCCGTGTGGGTGCTGGGAACTGAACCCAGGTCCTCTCTCAGAGTAGCCGGCGTTCTTAATCGCTGAGACATCTCTCCAAACCCCTGATGTCATTCTTTAATGCACAAAAGTTTTAAATTTTGATGCGATACCAGTTTTTCTTTATTGCTTTTACTTTTGTTGTCATATAAGAGAACGTTACTAATTTGAAGTCGCAATGGTGCCCTTCTATGTTTTCTTCTGAGAGTTTTCTAGTCTTAACTCTAACATTCAGGCTTATGATCCATTTTGAGTTAATTGTATATACTGGGAAATAGTCCTCTTCTTTTAATCCCCAAGAGCATCATAGTTCCAGAATGTTCTTTTACTAGGTTAGAAAAAGAACACTGGTAAACAGATTTTGTAGTTGTTGCTGTTGTTGTTTGGGGATATCTTTAAAAAAAAAAATCACTGAGTTGGGCGTGGAGGTGCATACTTTTAATCACAGCACCTAGAGTGCAGAAGCAGGCATATTTCTATAAATTTAAGACCAACCCGGTCTATATAGTGAGTTCTAGGTCAGTCAGGGTTATGTAGTGAAACCCTGTCTCAAATTTAAAAAAAAATCACTGACTTATTACTGACATGGGAAATCACATTTATAATCTCACTGAAATATTCCTCACCCACATTAAGCTCATTTAGTGTTTCATAAGCAGACAAATTTAAAGATGAGGTAACTTGGCAGAAATGGCTGCCAATGTCAGTGCAGAGACCAGTTATTGAAAGATTATGAATAGTATCTTGATTACAACTACAAACTTTGTCTCATCTTTTTGGCTTAGTATTGGTGAAGACTCACCTACCATTTTTAGTTTGATTAATGGCAGAGTCACTAATTAGCATGGAAAAGAGATTAGCAAATCACTCAAGATGTTAAGTACAGTTGGAGTGCTATTTTGTCCTGGATAACAGAGTAATGTTCAAAGCCACAGATGTGTGTGATAAGCAGGGCCCGAGAATACTCCAGTATTGAAGAGACGAGGTAATGTTTGAAAAATCAGCATTGGTTGGTTAGGTTTGATTTTGCTTCCTCTTAAATTGTCAGACTGCTGAATTTGCCTTTGATTATTGATGTGCTGAGATTTCATGTGGCTGTTCCTGAAGTTGCCTTTGATAATTGATGTGCTGAGATTCTGTGCCGATGTTCTTTTTGCTCTGCAGGATGTACAGAATCAAAAATTAAAGACAAGTGTGTGGTACCGTGAGGTAAATGATTCTGCTTTCTTCTCTGCATGCTGGGTTTGGGATCTTGACTTACTGCAAAATATCATCACTCTGAGGAGGAGATCTTGCCTTTGGGCATAGATCCCTTAGCTCTGCAGCAGGCCTAACTTTATTAGAATCCATGCAAGTGTGTAGTGTGGATTGATTTCCTTTCCCCTACCAGAGTGTACCAAGGGGCTGATAAACTGGGTCAGTAATCCAAATCTCATTTATGTTACTGCAGCTGAAATTTTCTCATCTTGCTGTTTCTCATTGGCTGTTCCTAACAGGTTTGGAATGATGAGTTCTTGTCTTGGAACTCCAGCCTGTTTGATGAGATTCGAGAGATCTCTCTCCCTCTCAGTGCCATCTGGGCCCCTGATATCATCATTAATGAGTTGTAAGTGTGCTGGGGTGTATTTGTGTGGAGCTTGGATTCATGTCACCACTCAGGCCAAGAGTTGCTCATCTGTAGTCTTTGCTGTATGCTTTCATTTTCTCAGGTGGAAGGGAACACGATATTAGGATATTCATGTTAGAATTACCATGATTTGACACCATTTGAGATACAGATTCAACTGTAGGTGCTTGAGGCTATGGTTTATGTTGTAGCAGTAGAAAACGACTTAAATGATGTGACTGGCATTGCTGAGTCTTTGCCAGGGTGAATCATCTCATGGGAAACACAATTTATAATACATTTTCTTTATAATATTTAAAATATTTGTATTTTATGTCTATAATTAATTAGATTAGATGGTCACTATTGTCTTATTATCAGTTTTGTGTATGTTTTTAAATGCCTAAAACCCTCTTAGTAACAGGTTCTCTTGTGTTTCATACAGTGTGGACACTGAAAGATCCCCTGACCTTCCCTATGTGTATGTGAACTCATCGGGGACCATTAGTAACTACAAGCCTATCCAGGTGGTTTCTGCATGCAATTTGCAGACGTATGCTTTTCCATTTGATATCCAAAATTGCAGTCTAACCTTTAGCAGTATTCTGCATACAGGTAAATAAACCATGAGAGATACAGTCTGGTAGTTAGAAGCACATATGCTGGGTTGGCATACATATGTGAAATTATATTAATTTTAGATCTACTTTATTCTTTCACATAATTTACCATTTAAAATTGAAATCTCAACTGGGTGTGGTGGTATATGCCTATAATCCCAGCATTCGGGAGGTCAAGGCAGGTGGATCATCCTTGACTATATAGAGAGTTTGAGTCCATCCTGGGCTACAGGAGATAGTGTCTCAAAAAAAAAAAAATCTAAATCTCTTGTTGTAGCTATTTGGCTTTTGCTAGAATTCAGACTAGGTATAAAGCCATATAGCCCACTACTTCTGTTAATTTGTGATTACAGAATCAGGACTGCCATCGACAATGTTCTAGAAATCATAGGATATTCTCTATATTCCACAGAGAGCGGGCTCCAAACTAAATTCATAATTAAATAAAAATTTGAAAGAATTGGGGCTGGAGAGATGGCTCAGCAGTCAAGGGTAGTGGTTGCTTTTGCAGGGGGCTTGGGTTCCTATCACCCATATGGCAGCTAACAACCCTTTGTAATACCAGTTCCAGGGGATCTGATGCCCTCTTCTAGCCTCCGTGGCATTGCATGTACACGGTGCACTTACATACAAGCAGGCAAAACACTCGTTCACATAAAATAAAAATAAATCCAAATATTAAAAAAATAAAAGTTAGAAGCTCCCCCCTCCCCCATCTAGTCTCTAGCTCAAAGATCAGTAATACTGTGTATGTGGGTCAGAAGAAAAAGAAAGCGTCGAAATGGGAGTGGGAAAGTGAGTTGATGCTGGCTCTGGTTTCTTGGCTCCCAGGACATCAACAATTTCTGTTGTTTTTCAGTGGAAGATCTAGACCTGCGCTTCCTAAGGAACAGAGAAGATATTAAGCATGACAAACAGGCATTCTTGAATGACAGTGAGTGGGAACTCCTTTCCGTGTCCCCAGCATATAACATCCTGCAGAGCAGTGCTGGAGACTTTGCTCAGCTTCAGTTTAATGTAAGTGCTTCTTCCCACCGGTTGCCCACTTCCCTGCAGCCCTCAGCCTTCTATAATGGGTTGTGGAATCTATTCAACTGCATGCTCTCATGATCACCCCAAAATAGCAGCTGATGGCTCTGTCCTTCCATCTGTGTGCTAGTAGTTGAGAGAGCAGAGATCCAGAGATCCTGGACTCCCACTGTAATCTTCCACAAGTGAGTCAGAGAGAACAATGTGTGGTCACCAGAGATCTGACCTCCTCAAGGCAGGAATCCAGCCTACATAAACATTATTATTACTAAGTGCCTCTGAGAATAAAACCCAAAGAAACCTACACACCACCAGCATTACAATGAATTGGGAACACTGCCTTATCAACATAATTGTCCCATTTTTAATTGAGAAAATCACCAATTAATTCCAGATGCAGATGCAGAAAATGATCATATTATTGACTTGAATGTCTGAAGGGATGAGCCCAGTGGTCACCTTCAGGACCCACAGAAACCACTACTGGGACTGGGAATGTAGCACAGTTGATGGGGTGATTGCCTGCATGAATGAGCCCCTGTGTTTAATCCCCAGCACACATAAACTAGGCATGGTGGCATACATTTGTAATACCAGTACTGAGGAGGTGGAGGCAGGAAGATTTAGGTTTGGGCTTGGGGTTAGCCTGAACTACATGAGCCCCTAGGTCAAAAAAAGAAAGAAAATAAAAGGAAGGGAGAAAGGAACGAAGGAAGGAGGGGACAGAGGGAGGGAGGAAGAAAGAAGAAGAAAGGGAGAGAGTGAGAAAAGAGAAAGGAGAGAGAAAAAGAGAAAAGGAGAGAGAGAGAGAGCAAGCGAGCGAGCCAACTACTAGTGGCCTCAGAGTCAGCAGTAACAGCTGCTTGTTGACGGGAGCATGGTGGAACCCACAGTCTTCTGGTACAGCCCTGGGAATACTCCTGGCCACACTGTTCCTAGGGAAATTGACCTGTCAGGACTTAAGGGGCACTGGGTGCAGAACAGTGGAACCTACTGCTTTGTACTGCCCATCCCCTCCTCTGGTTTTCTTGCATATCATCCTGCTGTGGTCCCCAGCAGGTTCATTGTATCCATAGGCTCACAGCATTAGAATTCAGCAGAGAACCTTGCTTTTCTGCACAATGTCAGCTAGTGGAGGTGGTGTGTGTGTGTGTGTGTGTGAGTGATGGGGTGGGAGGGTGGTCCTTCATGTCAAGAAATGAATCCAATTGAGAAAAGAGAGATGGCAGGCAGGTTGGGATTGTATACAATATGAGTTTCCCTAGGAACAAGTCTTGGGAATGAGAAGGTGCCACTAAGGGGCTGTGGTTACAAGGCAGATGCAAGGAGAGTAAGAGTATTTGCTGCTGAGGGACAGGTGGCCTCCACTGGCTGAAAGGTGGTACTCGCTTTCTAATAAAGCTGTTTCACATGGGACTCTAAGGCAGCTGGGATTTGAGCCTCACTGATGGCTCCCACTGGCCACTGGCTCAGTACAACTCATACCTGTTGAGCAGTGGGCTTAGGACTGGAGTTCTTGCTTTGAACTCTGCTAGATTTTTAACAATGTGTTCATTGTGGCTTTCTTGTCCACTCTCTTGTTCTTGTGATACTAGGGATGAAACAAAGGCCTTGCTCATGCTAGGCAAGCACTCCACCACTGAGCCACATCCCCAGTTCTTGTCCACTGTTTTTAGTGAGAGAAAAGGGAGGAGAGAAAGCTTTTTCCTCCCCCTTTTTTTTTTTTTGGAATTTCAATGAGTTTCTTGGCTAAGAGTAAACACCTCATTAATTTTAAAGATATCAGCCTGCAAACATTATTAATGCAGTCCAAATAATGGAGAGCATTAAAGGGAAATGTGAGGGAATGACACGTGTGAGGTAGAACACAGTCACCTACCAAGTACTCCGCGGAATGCTGCACAGACCATTACCTACACTGCATGGAAGAGACAGGCAAGAGGCAGGTAACCCGGAGTACCAGTGTGCATATGCCTGTATGTCTCTCTCTCTCTCTCTCTCTCTCTCTCTCTCTCTCTGCAATTATATGTCATCCTTCATCCTGAATATTATCTTGTTTTCTTGATGGCAGCTGAGGGTTTTCTATGTTCTCTCCACTTGGAACATGCTAAAAAAGGTCCAGTTATCTTGTCCCCTCCATTGCCACGTTCCTCCCTTTCATGGTGTTTACATGGAGGCATGCTGGAGACAGGTATGCATTTCATTTCATGGCCTTGGGGTTTATCCAGGGTGTCTTTTCCCCAGGGGCTAAGGTCGATTACCTGGCAAGGCTGGCTTCCACCCTAAGTCTCTGATTCTTTGGAACCAGGCCCCAAAAGAATCCTGAACAAAGTCGCAGATCATGTTAGCCAGACTCAGAAGTGATCCTTCAGTTTTGGAAAGACTTAAAGTAGGATCTGGAGCACACTGCGTTCCATCTCCCAGTCTCTGCACCTGCTCATGGCTGCCATGGGTCCCACGCACATTGTTCTGTTACTCCACCACAAGCGTCTCATTCTGAGTTCAGCATCCAAGTCTTCCTGGTATCCTTCAAAAGCCCTTGGCCCATGATGCGATATTCAGAACCCAGCTCGGTGTCAACATCAGGCCTGCTGGGGTCCTGACAGCAAAGGGCCATCTCCTTCCTAATCTAATCATTTTCTGTGTTCCAGTCCAGGCTGCTCTGGATGAGACTGGGGATAGCTGGAACAGGCAGACGAGACAACAATCTATTCAAAACACACCATCATCCTGTGCTGCTGTTTATCCTGCATCAAATGCTTGGGATACCCTGTTAGCTCTAGCTAACGTGCCATCACAGCCGCAGGCTCCAGGACACACACTGTTTATCAGAGGGCACCTTGGATGCTTTGGAGCCCGGCTGCATTCCACAGGGGGTCCAGACAAAGCTCCTCTCCCTGTAGAGATGTTTGTGTGCAGCCTGGACCTAATCCAATAGCCATGGAAAGGGAGATTTTTTTCCAAAACGTTGGAGGTGCTGGTTCCCAGAAAACAGCAAGATGGGCATTTGTTTCTGTATGGTCATTGAGAAGTGGGAGGAGGTAGGGAGAAGAGCTAGAAATTCCTTTTGGATGGAAAAGGACAGTCACAGATATCCTCACAGTGAGCAATGTGCTCACCAGGCACTGGATGCTTATAGAGAAGGAAAATGAAAGGGGCATTTGAAAGTGAGAGGTGTCCTGCTTACCCATTTCTACCACAAGCTTTCCCTCTTTTCTAGGCAAGGGTGATTCTGCTGAGATTTCTATTGAATGTTCTGAATTTAGGACCTAGGGCATCCTGATATCCTTCAAAAGCCCTCGGTCAGCTGAGCTTGATGGTACATGCCTTTAACCCTAGCATACGGGAGGCAGAGGCAGGTGGAGCTCTGTGAGTTCCAAGTCAACCTGGTCCACATAGCAAGTTATAGACCAGTCAGAGCTACATAGTGAAACCATGACTCAAAAAACAAAACAAAAGACCTTGGCCAGTGATGTGACTGTAGCTCATAAATTTGACAGGAGAGTCTTCCATGGAGGGAGGGAGGGAGGGAGGGAGATAGATAGATAGATAGAGATAGAGACAGAAAGACAGAGACTTTAAAGCTCTAGAAATCTTCCCTGAGTCCCTCAAGGAGCACAGGCACCACGGGCTTTCTGCTAATCCAGCCCAACCCACAGTCTACACTCTATACTCCCCAAGCCCTCACTCTGGTGCAAGGCTCTCAGTTAAATGGCAGCAACTTTCCCATTCTTTCTGAACTGGGGGTGTTAGGAGGGGATTGGTAGGAAAGGAAATAGGCTTCCACATGAAGCGTGAGTCTGGGCGTCAAAATTCCAAGTATGTCATAAAGACGGTCATGCAAAATTGAGTGCTGGTGGGGTCTACCATCAAGGAGGCAATTAAAGGCTAACCTTGGGGCCCATTCCATCTCCAAGGAGCTCTCCACATACACATTCTGAATTAGATTGATCTCTTTCATTAACATCAATAGGCTCCAAATACCTTTGTGTACTTATTATTACCTGGCTTTAATGGATAATGAAATTGTGGCATAATATTGCTAACACCTGAAGGGTGTCTAATGGAGAACACGGACTGAAACTAAAGTGCTTTTTCTTCCCTTTCTGTGGAATTTAAAGGCACCAGCTCCTTTAGTCCCTTAGGAATGATGGGCTTCAGGGAGGGCAGGTTTTCAGAGAACAGTGTCGCATTGAGCTGGTGACAAAAGCCCATATGAAGACAGACCCCAATAGGGTAGTCCCCATTTGGGCTAATCCCATATCCTTATTATTAACAGAGTCTAACAGTTCAGTGAACATTTCAGCTCTTATCATGTATTAGCCTCATTGACTATTCTGGTTTGATCTCTGTTGCTGAGATAAAATACTCTGACCAAAAGCAACTTGGTAAAGAAAGGGTTTATTTGGCTTACATCTCCAGGTTACAGTCTGTCATTGAGGGAAGTTAGGGCAGGAACTCAAGGCAGAAGCCTGAAGCAGGACTATGGGTGAAGGCTGCTTGCTGGCTTGAGATTATATATATATATATCTTTACAGCCTGGAACCACCTACCTAGGGTGTCACCCACAGTGGGTTAGATTCTCCTCCATCCATTAATAATCAAGACAGCCTCCCACAGACATGCCCATAGACCATTTTATCTAGCCAATTCCTTTCAGTTTCCTCTCAGATGACCCTAGGCTGTGTCAAGTTGACAAAACTAACTAGGACAGTGGTAAACACTTAAGGCACAGAGATGAATAAGAAAGTCTTTGGTATCTATCACAGACATCAAAATCTGCCCAGGGAGATGTAGCTCAGTTGGTAGAGTATTTGCTTAGCATGCAGGAAGCCCTGGGTTCAATTTCCAGCACTGCATAAAAAATTATTTAAATAAATACTCAGGGAGTCTCATCATCTAAATCAAATATAGATTCTGGTCTCCATTCATTCTAGAGCCAAATTTCTCTCTGCCCACAAACTTATGAAACACCCAGTCACCAGAGTCTGCTTCTTGAACTCCCAAGACCAGCAAGGATGGGGACCTGTTCTGCTCATAGTGCTGACTCTCCAGTACTCTTAGATAGTGTGTCAGCAGCCTCTTCATGCTCAGTTAATGTTTGGAACAAAGGAACAGAAGGCTCTGAAGATCAACTGAGATAAGAAAATTAAAACTTCAGAAAACTGTGATAAAAGTCGAGATTTTATTTATTTGTTTGTTTGTTTGTTTATTTATTTATTAGGCTGTGCTGGCCTTACAGAGACCATTAATCTAGTCTTTACAAGGCAATGCCTCTAAATTAAAAAAAAAAAGGTGGGTCCCTTGTTCTGGTTTTCTTGGTCTCTGCTAGGAAAGGCAACATCCTTACCAAAGAGAAGAGAAGAGATATGGTTGTAGAAGGCATATTCTACTTTCCAATTTATAGGCCAGATGGAAATAGGGAAGTTCTTTGTTTTGTGTCATTGCAGAAGCAAGTTGTTTCCCAGGGTACCTGTGTCTTTCCTTCTGTCTTCATCTGCTGTTGAGACCCAGTGAAGACCTCTCCAAGTTCAGGAACAAGTGTAGATGCACAAGTCAGACACCCATGAATGGCTTAGCAATTCCCTTATGCCCACCTCCCGCCCCCACCCACACCCCCACACACCTTGGGGACCTGTGGTCTGATGAAATTACATTTTCTTGGAATTCAGGGGCTTCAAGGAGCCACATCACGCACCTTTGGTTCTAGCCTAGGTTTATGTTTCCTGTCTACATTAGCCTCTGACTAGAGAGGAAACATTTCTGCCTGTGCTAATTATATCGGAACTTTATTTAAGGCACAACAGCTTGGCAAGGCAAAAACACAGAGCTTCTTAAAAAGGAAGGGAGAGGAGCTAGGGGCATAGCTTAGTTGGTAAAAGCATGAAGATCTGAGTTCAAGCCCCAGAATCCATGTGAAAAATTGGGTATGATGGTATTCACTTTTCATCCCAGCACTGGAGACATGGAGACAGACAGATCCCTGGGGTTCCCTTGCCAGTCTAGCCTAGTCTACTAGATAAGTTTCAGCCCAATGAGAGACAGTCTCAAAAACAATCAAATCAGTACATGACTCCTGAGGAATGACACCTAAGGTTGTTGCTGCTATATGCACACACTCACATGTACATCCATACACACCACACACACACACACACACACACACACACACACACACACACAGGACAGAGGAATCAGGAGTCAAGGCATGGAGAGGTTGACTGCCCCATGCAGGATCATGCAGATTTAAACATACAGGCTCTCAGAATCGAAGTGCTCAAGAATTTGAGCTACAGGTCTGGTCCCTTCCCAGTTAACCAACATGCCTTGTGCTTTTCTTTAGGGTGATATTCATGGGCTTGTCTTCCCCTTCCTGTAATTTCTGCCATGAAGTCTCCAAGGGGTGTTCCCACTTCTTCCCTCCATTCTCCTTCCCTCCACCCCCAACTCTAAGAGCTCAGATCATCAGCATTCCAGGCTGGTCACAAACATTAAGCTCCCAGGGACTCTGACCATTTGATGCCTTTCCTCCTAGCACCGCCTCCCACAGTCATTTCAGTCAGAGCCCAGTGAGCTAGAGACGTAGGTGGATGACAGTTCATTCTGTTGTTTTTCTTGTTGACTGCACTTAAGTAGGAAAGTGTTTTAATGAAATTATTGTAAAGTAGTGTGTCTTGCTCTGTTGTAGATATTTGCAGCTGATTATGTTTAATGTGAAAGACAACAGTCTGACTACAATCCACCAAACAGCTCTGGCCTGCCAAACTCTACTGAGTTGGGACATGTTCCCATATCTGATCGTTGGGGAGCCTTGGCTCTCATCAGCAAGGTGTGTGTAGATTCCCCCAGCCACACTGCTCTCCTCCATCTTCTGCTCCATCATTGGCCTCTGTACCTCCTCTGTGCCTGGGCTCATTTCTTTGCACTTTTCTCCCAGACCAGATGAGATAAGGGAAAAGAGTTTTACCTCCCCTCAGAGATCTGGCCAGATCTAGACTTGTATCTAGGTTACAGCAGAAGAGAACTAGGGATCAGAAGATGTGGGGCACATCTCAGTTTGATCACTGACTCAACTTAAGGGTGCTGAGTGTATTTTTGAAAATCTATGAAATGGAGGTACCACCTACTGAGAAGCTGGCAGTGAGAATAAAATAAATCACGTTGTCTACATGAAAGCTCCCAGCACACAATCTAACACAGAAAGCATTCAAGCTTTCCATTGTCCAAACCCAACAGCAAAGGGTCCAGGGTGATTATTTGTCTAATAGGGCTTCACTGAATTCCCACCATAAAAGAGGTCTTATTATCAGCCCTAGAGGAACTGCCACCTTAGAGATGGGACCAAAGAAATGTTTACAGTCTAGTGGGGAAGAACTCTGTCTTCCCTCCCCTCTTATCTTCTCCCTGCCCCTTCTCTTTCCTTTCTTCCTTTCTCCCTGCCCTTCCTTCTTTCCTTCCTTCCCTCCCCTCCCAAATGGGCTTTTTAAATTATAAATTAAGACCATCTCACCCACTGCTCAAAATGTATAATGGCTTCCTGCTGCCCTTGGAATAAAAGCCACACCCATAAGTTCTTGGTCCTTCCTTCCCTCCCCTCCCTCCCTCCCTCCCTCCCTCCCTATCTTCCTGCTTTCCTATTTTTTCTTTTTATTTTTGAGTCAGGTTTTGTGTAGCCAGGCTGGCCTCAAACTCCCTATGTAGCTGAGGCTATCCTTGAACTTCTAATCCCCCTTCCTCTACTCCCCCCCAAGAGCAGGGATTACAGGAACGTACCACATACCCAATTTACGTTGTACTGGAGATCAAACCCAGGGCTTTGTACATGCTAAACAAGCAGTCTTATCAACTGAGCTACATCCCCAGCTGATAACCCTAGCACTGGCAGGTAGAGTCAGGTGGATCCTGGAAGCTCACTGGCCAGTCAGTCTAGCCACTAAACTGAGCTTCTGGTTCAGTGAGAGACCCTGTTTCAAGGCAATATGGCAGAGAGTGAGCGAGAAAGATACATGCTCTGGCTTCTGCATGCATAACAAATGGGCATGCATTGGTGCACACACATTAATAATAATAATAGTTATTCATTCTATGTGAATACTTAATGGATTTCTCCCTCTTTCTAACACCAAAATAGCTTTGTAGTATGTGTGTGTTTGATAGGGTCTTGCCATGTAGTCCAGGCTGGAATTCAACTCATGGCAATTCTTCTGCCTCAGTCTCCTGAGTTCTGGGATCATAGGCATGTGCCATCATACCCAGCTGCTTCAAATTCATTACTGTGATAAACTACATAGGCTTTTCCCATTATGCAGAAGCACTGGGACTTAAGGGCATATCTTGGCTATGGCCGAGCATTAGTCCTGCACTTAGATTAAGCAGCTTCCTTGTCTCTGGCCAGGTGGTGATTCGCAGGTGCCCACTGGCCTATGTCGTGAGCTTGCTGATTCCCAGCATCTTCCTGATGCTCGTGGACCTGGGAAGCTTCTACCTGCCACCCAATTGCCGTGCAAGAATTGTGTTCAAGACCAGTGTGCTGGTGGGCTACACAGTCTTCAGGGTCAACCTGTCTGATGAGGTGCCAAGGAGTGCAGGGTGCACATCTCTGATTGGTAAGCAGGCCCAGCTTATCTGACATGTGTTTACACTATTCCTGGCCAAGATCCAGCATTGCATGTCAAACTAGAGACTCCTGCTTAGCCCCCCTTCTCTGCTCTGGTCCTTCCCTAGGGGTCTTCTTTACCGTCTGCATGGCTCTCCTGGTTCTCAGCCTATCCAAGTCCATCCTATTGGTCAAATTCCTCTATGATGAGCGACGCAGTGGGCAGGAACGGCCTCTCCTATGCCTTCGAGGGGACTCTGATGTTGATGAGTCTAGGTTGCACCCCAGGACCCCGCATGAGGAGGCAAAAGGTTTGTGAGAAATCTTGAAATCCCCATCCTGTCTACCCTGAGTACCTGTGTCCGCTGAGGAAGCATCAGGCCATGTACTGAACTGTGTGAAGAATTGGAAAACCTGGTTTTCAATTCCCATTCTGCATTCAGATTCCCTCTGGGGACTTGTTCTAGTTTACTTTCTACTATTGTGATAAAACACCATGACCAAAAGCAACTTGGAGGAAAAAGTGTTTATTTCAGTTTGCAATGACCAGGTTATAATACATCACTGAGGGAAGTCAGACAGGAACCTGGAGGCAGGAACTGAAGCAAGGACCACTGAGGAACACTGTTTATTGGCTTATTCCCTCTAGCCTCTGATCAACCTGCTTTCTTACCAACCTAGGGCTACCTGCCCAGGGGTGACACCACCCAGAATGGGCTGGGCCCCCCATATCAATTAGCAATTAAGAAAAGGCCTCACAGACATGGCCACAGGCTAATCCTATGGAGGTAATGCCTCAATTGAGGTTCCTTCTTCCTAGATGTATCAAATTGACAACCAAAGCCAACTATGACAGGACTGAAGGCTACTTCCTGTTAGGGGATCAGGTCTTCAGTTACCCTTAGCTTGTTTCATTTGCCAGTTTCAACCAATCACCTAAAGTGATTAAACCACTGACTCAAGAATTGTAGAGTTCAGGCATACAGGCACACTGGGATAGGGGGAGAGAGAGAAGGAGAGGGAGAACATATAGTTGGGTTCCGTTGTTTAATATAAAGAAGTATAAGACTCATCCTAGACTCTGAGCCAGGGTGTGAGTTTGAGACTGACCTGAGCCAAGCAGTGAAACCCTGTCTCAAAAAGCAACAACAACAAAAAACAATCAGCCCCTGAAGCATCAGTTGAGCAAGTTGGGCTGGTCCCTAGCTTGGGAAATCCAGATGGATCTAGCCTATACACACTGTCCTGACACAGCACAGCTCTGCCATGTTCTCCAGGCTTTTCCTCAGCATAGCCAGGCCTCTCCTGAGCAGGAAGGGTGTGAGTCCCCATCCCCATCTCAGACCCTTCCTTGAAGAATAAGTCAAGCCAGCCCCTGGTTCATTTAGAGTGTTTTCTTCTGTCGTGCAGAGTCCCCAGTCCGTCAGGAGCACCAGGTTCAGTCAGGCACCCTGAAGGAAGTCTGGTTCCAGCTTCAATCCATCAACAACTATCTCCGAACTCAGGACCAGGTATACCAACAGGAGGTGGAGTGGCTGGCGCTCCTGTACCACTTTGACCAGCTGCTCTTCCGAAGCTACCTCGTAGTTCTGGGGCTCTATACTGTCACCCTGTGCTCACTCTGGGCCCTGTGGAGCAGTTTGTGAAAATGGAAACTGCTGGTCTCAGCCTGTGATGTCACAACACTTAACAAAAAGCTAAACAATGTTGTGGGAAGATTGATGTCTTAACAGTATGTATGCCAACTTGGCCCTGGAACCCTGCTCAAAACAGCCCAATTCTCCCAGGGTCATCACTCTATGACTCTGTCTCCTCATCTCTGTCTTTAGTCTCACATTACCTGATATCCTTCTCCCTCTGAATGCTTTATGTCCTCTTTAATGTATGTGTATGTGAGGAGGGAGAGGGAAGAGAAGAGAGGAAGGAAGGAAGGGAGGGAGGGAGGGAGGGAGGGAGGGAGAGCGAGAAAGAAGGGAGAGATAGAGAAAAGGGAGGCAGAGAGATCAAGAGGGAAGGAGGGAGAGAAATAGGGAGATGGAGAGACAGAGAGGGAAGGAGGGAGAGAGAGAAATGGGGGGAGAGATGAGAGAGAAAGAGAAAGAGGGAGGCAGAGAGAGAAGAGAGATAATGATTTATCCTACAGACTGCATACTTACAGATCTGACTCTGGTCTGCTCCCATCACTGTCTACCCAGGGGACCTTCAACTTCACTTCTCAGACCTCAATTTGCCTTATTTAAAACTGGGGCTGTTAATATTTACTGCCTTCACATGAGGCAGTAAATAGGAGATAAAAATTAAGCAACAAAACTTAGCAGCATTTTGATTTATTTTTATTTTATGTGTGTGTTTTGCCTGCATGTATGCAAATGTACCATGTGTGTGCAATGCTGCAGAGATCAGAAGAGGGCATCGAATCCCCTGGAACTGGAGTTATGGACAGTTGCTGGCTGCCATGTGGGTGCTGAGAACCAAACCTGGGTCCTTTGCAAGAGCACCCAGTTCTCTTAGACCCTGAGCCATCTCTCCAGCCCCCTTAGCAACGTTTTGAAAAGTAAATAATAGATAACCAAAATAAACACAAGGCTTGCCTGCTACCCACTGAGATGGCTTCTGGTCTGTCTTTGGTGTGGGCTCTGACTTCTAGCCTTCTGTTTGCTCGTCCTACTTTCCCCACATCTAGCCCAGGTCCATGAGTTTTGCTTGTGGTGATTCTGTAGTAACAATCTCAGAGCAACTCATTCTAGCTCACTGATCTGAGGACAAAGATATGACTTATTTTCCCAAGTCAGAGGGACAAAATCTATCCAAGATCAGATATTCAGGCCCTGGACATCCATGCCTCCACCCATCACTGGAGGTCATCTTCGGGAGGCTGGTGGGCAGAAGGGGACAGCTGGCTTTGAGACAGTCATCAGTCCTGCCTGCATAGGACACAAAAGTTCAAAGCTATTTGTCAGGAACTTATTCCTGACAAAATTACTTTTTGAAATTGCCTTTAAAAAAATATGCCCCCCTCCAACCCCATCCTGAAGAAAAAGAATTTAAATTCCAACAGCCTTTACCTGCATCTCCCCTCTCTCATTACCTCCCAGTTAGTGCTCAACGCCAATTGTCCATGAAATTCCACTGCTGCTGTTAATGAAATGAGGAACGTAAGAAGTCTGAGAACAGGAAGTGTCCATGCAAAACTCTACCTGTTTCCTTCTTTACTTCCTTCTTTCTACCACTGGCCTCCTCTGCCTTGATGGTGCTCACCTAGCCTCTGTATTGATTCTGGTCCTCTCCACATCTTATAGAGTAGGGAAGAAGGAAAGGCCTTCAGTGAAGATATCATTTCAGAGTCCCGTCCTAACTACCTTGTCTGATTCCTGGTTCTGTCACTGTCTACCCTGGGCACCTTAAGCTTCACTTGTCAGACCTCAACTTGACTTATTTGAAATTGGGTCTGTGGATATTTATTTACTTTCTCTTTGTCATACATAGGGTGATGAGATCAAAATGAAGTGACATACTTAACAGCACTTTGAGAAGTAAATAATAGATCACAAGGGGAGAGATTGCTATGATGGTACCTACTGCTCTTACAGAGGGCCCAAGTTTGGTTCCCAGCACCCATGTCTGGTGGCTCAAACCACCTGTGACTCCAGCTCCAGGGAAGCTAGTGCCTTCTGTGGGCACCTGCACACATATGCACATACCCTCACAAAGACACATATATACACATAATTAAAATACAAAAAGACACATATATACACATAATTAAAATACAATAAATCGCCGGGCGTGGTGGCACACGCCTTTAATCCCAGCACTTGGGAGGCAGAGGCAGGTGGATCTCTGTGAGTTCAAGGCCAGCTTGGTCTACATAGTGAGTTCCAGGACAGCTGGGCCTACAGGGAGACCCTGTCTCAAAAAGACAAAAAAAAAAAAAAATACAGTAAATCTGCCAGGTGTGGTGGCACACCCCTTAATCCCAGAACTTGGGAGGCAGGAGCAGGCAGATCTCTGTGAGACTGAAACCAGCCTGGTCTACAAAGTGAGTTCTAGTCAGCTGGGGTTACATTATGAGACTATGTCTCAAAAACAAAAAATAAGTAAATAAAACACATTAATCTTTAGAAAAAAATAGTAGATCACAAAATAAACATGAAATTTGCTTGCTACCAGCAGAGATGGATTGCAGTCTAAAGTCTTTGGTGTGGGGTTTGATTTCCAGCTATCTCTATTAGAATCCAGGTGTAAATTCTGATTCTCTCTAGGAGTGACTTTATTATAGGACCTAAAGGTCAAGGGCTGACTCCGTCAAGGGCCCCCTTCACAGAAAGACTTGAGTGGTAGGGGATCTCAAAGAAACTCCCCCTTCTACCTCCTGTGTAGCTCACCTTTCTGTAAACTCAGATACAATCACTTGGGCTCTTTACAGCAGCCTCTAAGAGGCTGTGGAGCCTGGCCACCAACTGGCCTCCCTTTGTCTAAGAGCTCCACAGCCCTAATCTCAACTGGTAGCCTCCAGAGCCAAGTTTGCAGCCCAAAGTGGTAGCATTATTGAGCACAGGCTCTATAGACCTCCTCCTGGAATAGTGTCCCCTCTAGAACGAACACAGGTTGTAGAGCCCCGGTTTATGGAGTAGATTCAGCTCAGCCTTTTCAGAGAGGAAAGAAACTGAGGAACAGAGCAAAAATGGGATTCTCCCAGCTGTGAATGTTCCTACCCATCCCTATACACTAAGAAGTCACAGCTCCAGTTTGATGTCTGGGATACAAAATAGATAAACACAGTTCCAGGCTAGCCAAGTAGCCTCTGTTTCATCCCAGTATCTCCAGGTAATTTCAGAGGGCTGCTGTGATGACCTTCCAGAGCCCGGTATCCTTTCTATATCGTTTTATTCTGTTTTAAAATGGGATCTCATGTAACTCCAGCTGGTCTTGAGCTCCCTATGTAGCTGCAGATGACCTTGATCCTCATGCCTCCGCCTCCACCTTCTAAACGCTGGGTTCTAGGCATGTGCCACTACACCTGGTTTTATGTGGTACTGTGGAACAAACCAAGGGCCTTGTGCATGCTAGCTAGGTAAGCATTCTGCCAGCTGAGCTACATCCCCGGGATACCCCACTGCTACCTTCTGCAATCATCTTAGAGCGGACGTGGTAAAAGAAGCTGTGCTTACCATTTAAATCTCCATACACAGCAAGTCTCTTGTGGCCTGCCTTCAAGTGAGAGGGTCAGCACCAGGAAACAAAGGAAAGAGTACCTGTGACAGGAACTTGACTTTAAGGCAGTATGCCTTCCCCAATTCCTGGTTGATGGGCAGTCAGCCCAGGACAGAGACCCTAGTTTCTCTGTGTGCTTACTCTGGGAAACTTGGGCCTCCTTCTATCCCCTGCAACATGCCCTGTGTCCTGGGAAACTCACTCATTCTCTCCCGCATCCCAGTCCCATTCATTTCTTTAGCTGCTCCTCAGGTGATTCCATCCGCTCAGTCCTGAGTTATTCACCTGACAGTGTGAGCTTCATAATTAGTTGAGCCTCAGCATGGAAGCTTTTATGAGCAGCCACACCTCCCACCACTCTCTGGTGTCCGTAATTGAAATGACCCACACCAATGATTAGATTAGGGGGCTGAAGGAGCCCAGCATGGCACTCCTGTCCTCTCCCCTGTCCTGTAGGGGAAGTGATGTAGTTAAGTTTGTGCTTCATTTGGCAGAAGCCATAAAGCAGGAATTGCAGCAAAGCTTTCTGCAGGGGCTGGAAGACACTGCTGGGCGGTAGATGGTGGGATCCAGGATTGAGGGGGAGGGAGCCCCCTGCTCCCCTTTACCTTGCTTTCTTACTGCTCCTCTGGTCTAGCACTCAGCTCCAAAGACCTGAGCCAGGTGGGTATCATTGGGACCAGGCTGCCTGTAGACAGCCAGCCCTGGATCCACCCTGCTCCAGGTCCTCCTGGTCACCTGGGCATCTTCTTTGCAGAGCTGCAGGCCAGGGAACTGCAGGTGCTCCTGGCAGTTCATCTCTTCCCCACCTCCTTGCCTAACCTTGGCTTCTCAGCCGCCCGCACAGTAGAAGCCTCCTTCCCAGGCCCATCCTTCTGCAGCCCCCTCACCTCACCCGGCCCTAGACAGCAAGATGGAATTTGGTGGGTGGTGCAATAACTGAAGTTTGTCTAAGTTTCTTCTTGCTCCTTCCTCCTCCCCACTCTGGCCATCACACTGTCCAAGGGACCCTTCCCTGCTATGCTCTTTCTTCCCCAAACTACCTTCCTAGATACCCTGCACCAAAACATACCAGAGTCTTTCCACCTGGGTCAATGCTTACACACTCCTTTAAGGGAGAAAAATGGGCAAAACAAGTTCCTGCCAATCCTTCAATCTGAGGTGTCTGCATCCCTGGAGGGGCTCAGCAGTTGCCAGGTACACAAAGCCAGAGTGAGCATGGTACCTTTCCAGAACATTCATTTCACTCAATGGTGAATTATGTACTTTCCTCCAAATACTGTTGCATTTCAGTGATAGAGTAAAAATTTGGGGGGCTGGAGAGACGGCTCACCAGCACTGGCTGTTCTTGCATAAGACCCAGATTCAAATCCCAGCACCCACATGGCAGCTAACAACAGTCCTAACTCTACTTCCAGAAAATCTGACACCCCCTTTTGTCCTCCATGGGCACTGCATGACTCATGACTTGAGTACACTTACACACATACAGGCATAACACTCATACACACAAAAATAAATAAATAAAAATTGGAATAATATTTCAAAGACAAAACTTCAGACTTCATGAAATGGGAGGAGGAATCTTGGGTT